TGCAAATTACAATCAGTTGTATTATTATTGATGACAAGTTTTCAGTTTGCAGCGGAAGTAATGTCTGGGTACTTGTCGTTGACCATGTCACTGTTAAAGATACCTTCCCGCGTACAAACTGGATGATTTGATGATATATATATATATATTTGGACTAAAAACATATTCAAACTAATTAATCTATCAAAATCTTGTTTCAAATCCCCCTCAAAACATTATATTCACGAGGAAATACCCAAGCTATAAACAATCTAAAAAAATCTATTAAAAGAAGTCATGTTTGTGTCACGTGACTTGGCTGTCGGATGAGCACCCGAGGAGAATTCATTGCATATACAAGACGATGTTGTCTTTACTCGCTGTCCGTTTATTATAAATATCGAAGCCTAATTATCTACTACCCACGTCTTTTTCCATGGTTTTTATCTCTCACGTTTTCCTATTCCACTCACCACTAAACTTCTCAACATACACATCAAGCGCCCCCGAACGCTGAGCGATCTGACTATTTTCGCGTGCAACCTTTGACGTCACTCGAGCAGACATACCTAATCATCGGGTTGCCGGTTAGGGAAACCCTTACATTTTACATCTCGAGATCTTGGCGAAATCTTCAGTCCTAACCCTTTCCCTAACCCTAAACCACAATCCACATATGACATCATATTTGTTAGACCGTCTCTTAGATAACCTCTTCTTCTGGATTCGGATTAAAATACTTAGTGAAGATGGCGATGGATTGTGACCATATCCCGTTCATATCTTCTCCAGATGATACCGAATCTTACCAAATTTTCATTTCATTATTTATGTTTGTAAATACTGAACAGAACTGAAGCATTTTTGGGGGTAATACTCATAATATTGTAGTCGGTCTAGGATTCTCCAATGACGCTCAGAAACTTTAAAATTTGTTGCATATGACAATACAATGTTATCAAGAAATTTATTATGGATAAAACAAATCTAAGAACTAAGTTAAGCACTATTAAGTTATATATTCAATATTATAAATTGTCCTTGGTATCTTTTAATGTTAAATATATTAAATATGGAGTGAAAAAAGAACATCAATGATTTGGAACACCCATGCCAAATACACCAGGATTAACTGTGCACATATCTGTGTAAAAGTGTCTTTTATGCATACCCCCAACACTTTAACTTACAATGTTGATCGGGCAAAGCCCTATAGTTTTTTAAAATAAATATAAAAAACGTCACACGAAATAAACCAGGATTAGCGACTAACGTCTTTTACCTAGTAGGACACCTACAATATGTGTAAAAAAAACCCTCTAAATTATTAAAAAAATAAATGTCAAAAACGTCATATGAACCCTGGATTAACGAGTAACGTTGCTTACCTAGTAGAACACTTACAACTTGTATAAAAAGCTCAATATATTTTAAAATAAATATCAAAAACGTCATACGAAATCAACCAGGATTAACGGCAAACGTTGCTTACCTAGTAAGACACCTACAATTTGTGTAAAAACGTGTTCTCGACACAGAGTGAAACTTTTATTTTAACGTACAGCGTAAAACTGAAAATCGTCTGCATTATCCAAAACTCATACTAAAAAAATGATTATCAAAGGATAATGCGTACATATTAGAGCATACAGCGAATATGTTGTCAACAGAATATTCCGATGATCTTAATGAAAGATAGCAGTAAATATCTGACGTATTACTATTCATTTCGACAATGCCTTTTCAGCATGAGGAAACATACAGACACATTTGAATATGTGTTAAAACTAACCTTGATAAAACGGACTGTATAAATGAGCACCATTGGCAAATCCCAACAGGGTTACTAATAAAATTCCTATATCCAACAACATGGTGATAACTTCTAAGATTCAAGTTCTAAGATATATAGCTACAGTTCCAAGACAATTTGACAACTAAGATTTTATTTGGCTTCAACATAGTATATGTAGGTTCGACTTTCTTTAAGAGCTGCTTAAAATTGACAAATTAAAAACATCCGTAAAATAACAAGGCTTGAATCTACTTGACATGGATTAAAATTGAATACAAATTGCATGGTCATATAAAAAAGGTTTATTAAAATTCAGAAGAGATTTAGATCATGGTCGTCATGTGGCTAATTTACAGTTACATGTAAATAGTTTTGTCTGAACTGTGGTTGGGTAAATACAAAATGCTCCCACTAGCCTTCATGATATCAGAGAATATTTAATTTATTCTAGCATAGACAAAAGTCGGATGACATCTTACTGTTTTCATTTGGACACTAAAGTGGTTTGACTTTATCGTTCTATTTACTCACCCAATATATTGCACCATAAGATATGATGATATAATCTGAATGATGTTTTGAAATCTAAGGCAACATGGTGCACGGGTGACTCAGCCAAAGCAACCACTCCCACGTCGTAAGACAAAACTTCTTGAAACTATTGAGCTACCATACAAAATTGACAATGTACTTTTAAGGCTTTTAAGTGTTGAACTCTGCATTACATCTAAATAAAACAACACTACTTTACACGTACATGTGTTTTAAACATACACGCTTATGTTATTTTAACTTGAATTTAAATGAATTATGGTTATATTTTTTATGCTTATAAGTAGTTATTCTAAACTGGTGAACAATAAGGCACACACAAGCTAAACATCATTAGATTAGTTTACACCCAAGTTTCATAGATGGTGGAGATTCCTTAGGGGTAAAGAAATTTCATCGTTGTTTGCATTTCAAATCTATGTTGTTTCTGTGCTTACAACACATTGCGAAGATTTTATATTTAAGTGGCCATGCGTGAGGTGCATATCTTTGAAGCTGTTATTCTTTAACACATTTACGACTAGCCTTACAATTTAGTTACATATCGGTCATGGTAGATAATTCACCAATATTGTCTTGACTAAAAAGCAATACATCTTTCAATGTAGTAGGTTACAATAGTACTTCTAATACATGTAATCACACCTGTTGAGAGAATTCAAGAGATATAATGGGTTTGAGATAGTGCATGGTGGTCGTTGCCGTCAAGATCATATCGAAAACACCACTCCCAAAGGTTATGTTTGACAGATAAATAAACATAAACATAAAGATAAATATAAATAAATAATATGTACATTTATACCGCGAACAGTTCCATGATAGTTTGCATTCCAAAGTCGCTACACGGTGTAGGTAAATAGATGAGTCATTAAATTAGATTTGAAAGATTTGAGCAGTGTTTTTGATAGATCGAATGTGGTAAAAGCAGGTTTTACAGATATAATCATTAGGCAGTATTGCATCACGTTAAACAGAATCGTTGTAGTTAGGGTGTCACTAAATTCTCATTCATCTTAGAATCATGTAAATTGGATTAGTAACTTGTATTAAATTCATTATTATTAATTATCTATGTATATACCTAGTACTTAGTATACTCATCTTATCACTCTTTATTATATATACGCATGCAATATAACAGTGGTGTAAACAATAGTTACGGATTGAATTGTACATCCCATTGCTTGCTTAACACCAACTTAGTAAGCTGATTACTAAAATAACACTTACAACTAGTGCTTTTGATATGCATTACTTGTTATTATGTATATAGTTATGGCTTCCTTTTACTGTATAAGTGTACATGTATATATATGTTATTATTTGCTTGATAAAGACGCGAGTATCATCGTCGAAAAGTTGCATGTTAATAGTCCAGTAATTGTAAGTCCATAAATAGTGTTTAGTGTGGGAATTTTTGATATGATTATATCAGATTTTGATAGTGAGTACCTTGATTCAATCACGATAGCTTCGGGTTTGTCATCATTTAGTTTGAACAGATTTATGGACAATCAGCTTGTAAACGTTTGGCTGTATTTTGATGTACGCTGATGAGATTGGTCAAATTCACAAGAGGTAAAAGCTGTTTTCTGCGTTAGAATGACCTAATATGATGTGTTGACAGATAATACACTAGTTGTGTAGAGAATAAACAAAACAGGTCCAGGCACCGCAACTGGATGAACTCCTAAAAGTAATTTAGCCGTATACGACAAAAGCCTGCCGTCTTACACCTGCGCCTCCGTGATCTGCGTATAACTCCTTGCGCCACTTTTTTTTGTAAACAATATAGGCTATATCACCCCTCTCCACTTAACACAGGTATGTGCATATGTCATTGTGAGCTGAATGAGACCACAGTAGCACAAAGTGTGTGTCGGTATTTGGGCCACATAAATGTATCACAGGGTGTCTTTTCTTTGAAAATATTCAAAATATTTATCCAAATCCGCGTTACCACAAACTATTGGGACAACTTTGTAACGTCTTCGTCTGAGATTATCTCTCAGGCTGTCAGATTCTTATTACTCTTCTATTATGTTATATGTAAGGGACATCGCATAGTCGATCGGAAAGGACTAAAAATCGAGGCCCCGTGCACACATTGGTGTTCACGTAAAAGAACAATTGTCGGTTGGCATTCAAAATAAGATTAGGCCGTAGCGCATCTGTCCAGGTAATGTTTGCCTCATAGTGCCTGTGAGCACTGGTTCACCAACCAAGAGGTCAAGGGGTGGATCGCAGGGATGTTGGAGAAAGTTCATCGAGATTTTCCTGCCTGGTTTCCCCTTGTCCGAGATGATGTGTATACCACTAGAATCACGTTAAAAATCCGTGGACACGTGGCTATCGACATTAGAGTAGGCTGCATAGTCACGATCCTGGACGTGCGTTCTTGTCTCCTTTAAACCGGAAAGAATTTAATCCGTTAAAACCCATTTGATTTAGATTTTAATGACCACCCTAAACACTTTAGCTGTGCCATTTGGAGACCAACAAGCTAGATCTCTTAAAAGATGTATACACGGGATTTGATCTAGACATGTGGTGAAAGGATTCGCCATGGCAAAAGGATATGCCATAATTTAACGAAAACAAATTTTATTTGCATCAAGTTTATTACAAAAGGACAGACATTAACACCAAATAATACAAAACATTACCCCTTTTTGTGTTTAACCCTTGTGGGTGCACGTTGTGAGAATCACATAGCAAGTATCATGGGGTTCATATGGACCCCAGTTATAATTCAAAGTTTTACGTCAAGTATATTTAAATTAAAAGGCAGCGGTTCGGTTTTTATTTGCATTCATATTTGATGTCTGGAAAACTGCTAAATTATTATCCAAAAACATTTTAGTGACATATGGAAAAGATTTAATAAATTTCAGAAAGCAATGTCCAGAAGTTATTACAAAACACTATACAACATGTGCATGGGGTCCACGGAGACCCCACGTGCACCGACAAGGGTTAATTATATTTTGAAAGACTATCTTGAAAAAGAGATATATTGGAATTTTGTTCAATTACAACGCTTTCCAAAACTAATACTTCATTCGTCGCTTCTTGAAGCGATCTTACAACTTTAACGAAAACAGAACAATGTTTCAATGTAGCTCTTTTAAGCATACAGCGTGCTCCCCCAAATTAATCTTTAACTTTATTTTCCATATGCTTTTGTAATTGATTCGATCCAGGTTTTTAAGTTTGGTACGTATGAGTAGACGCCTGGGTAGTTTGCTCTGGCACAACCGTTTCCAAAAGAAACTATTCCAGTTAAAACCCAGTTGTTGCCTTCAGCACACATGAGTGGTCCACCAGAATCACCCTAAAAAGTCAAATATAAAGATTAATGTATGTAAACGGTAGACAGTGGTATAACTACGCCCAGGAGTTACAAGATGTTACAGTTGTCATCCGACAATCATATGGCTTTTTACGGGCATGCAATTGTGACTATTTTCATCACAGGGGTTCTTTACATAGAACCCTGTTGATAGCATAAGAACCCATCGAATTATTCAATTCCAACTCCCACTTGTCAGATGATAGCTAATGTAGGACTTGGAAGGATATATGTGCAAAACCCCAGACCTCTACAAATACAGCATAACAGTAAAAGTAACTGTTTATATGTGGTTGAGGGTTTACTGGAAGAGCCGGTCTTCTCATTAGCCTGTATGAAGCAGTGAACAGGACGTTAAACCCCCATGTCATTTCATTTCATCCCCTTGAAGTGTATTCAGACATAACAACTGCATGACCTAGCGGGGGGAGGGGGGTTGGATGGCTGAATAATTAGCGTGCGCGCGCTGTATCATAAAGTCTGTCATTGAGTCGACTGGCGTAGTTTCGAATCCCCGGTTGTACGTGACAAGGAGTAGGGTCGCCTGTCCAACCTCGTGGGTTTTCTCCGGGTCCCCCGGTTTCCTCCCACTGCTAAAGACTCCTACGCGCAAGCGAATTATTGCAATCAAATTAAACCATATGTTAGTCCCGAAATGACCTAGTTTGTGTCGAGTGGACGTTAAACCCCATTTCTCTCTCTCTGTCTCGCATTACCTGGCATGCATCTATTCCACCATTTAGATATCCAGCACATATCTTAACATCAGTGATAGTATTATAACCATACGATTGTTTACAGGTATCCATACTTAGTATTGGCATAGTTGCTTTTTGTAGATTTACAGGTGCATATCCAGAATATTCTAAAAGGAAAACATTGTTCAAGGTTTAAAGAGGATATTTGTATTTATGTCATACAGATATTAAGCTATCCATGAACTTAAGCTGGCGACCACAGTCAAGACCACTGGTTATTACAGGTCCGGTACTCTACACTGCAGTGGACGTTTACGGCTGCCCCCCCCCCCCCCCAATCTGATTAAAATACAGATCTATATTTCGTTTCGTCTTTTTTTATACTTTCGATGGCATCTTGTTGTAGTGGAATGTCGCATCAGCGCTCATACGAGCGGCTTTTGACCCTATGACGTCATACACTTGATTAACCAATCAGCGTTGATGTTTCTAGTGTGTTACCCACATTTCCGCCAAAAACTCGCCGTAACAGACCGTTTCATTGGCTGATCCCTCACATCATCCAGAACGCAGGTTATATAACAACTCTTCCACATACTAGTGTAGTAAGGTCAAATAAAACGAAATATTGAACAATGAAAAACGAAACGAAATAGGATCTGTGTTTTAATCAGATTGGTCCCCCCGAATACATTCGCATGATTTGATATGCACATTTCTTGTTCATTACTTGCCATGTTTATGTAGACTGAGTGTCAATTTCGGAGGGTTGTCTATTAGATTTTGTCTGCGTGTAGTGCGGTCCTTGTGTCCTTATTATTAATATATGCTTTTTGACCCATTTTCGTCTATTTCATGTTTTAGAAGAGTGAATCAAATTATGCTGAATTGTAAATAAACTTTCTATAAACTAATCTGATCTTTCGGTTTTAGCCTGGAATTTCCCTGAATTATTCCTAATGAACATAATACATGTGTCGCGTTTAATAACATCCAACAGCAACATGTTGCTAACAACCGTTCAAACATGATCCACTGCTGTGTTCTATATCCCAAAGCCGAGTTGCCTTATCAGGGCAAACGCAGTACCTTTAGTAAGATGTATTCAACGTTTGCAGCAGGAAAACTTGTGGATTATTGCATATAGCCAACTTAATTTACCTTTGGTAAGTCCCCATCCAGCCACAGTACATTTCGTTCCAGTTTTTATGTTTAATTGGGCTGAAGGCAGACATATTGGTTTTATACATTGGTTATTGGTTGGTAGAGGGTATTGAAGAGTTAAAACAGCAACATCGTAGTCTGTAAAATGTAAAGACAATTTTGTAATTTTTGTAATTAAATATGTTGAATATGGAAAAGTTTAGAAGTTCGCTGAAATATAATAACATACCCAACCTGAATCTATTCCGCCAAAGATGCGGTAAATGCATGGACATATTAAAGGGTCTAATACAATTGTAATCTATCTGCAACCTTTTGGCAATGTACCCGTGTAAGCCGCCCAAGCCTCAAGTGTGCTTTATTCACTTAACTTGCTCAGGTTGCATAATAGTTCTGTATGCCATTCACACTAGTTCCCCCCCCCACTGCTTAAAGACCCCTACGCGCAAGTGACCCCCCCCCCTCTCTCTCTCTCTCACACACACTATATCGCAAGCCTAACGACAAGGGATATGGTCATTATCTGATATAATATTCATACTTACTAAATGATGATGGATTGTAGTTTGGGTGAACAGTGACTGTTCGAACGGTGTAATATGTTAAACTGTTTTTATTTGAAGAACCAGCACCAACTCGGACACTTGACGCTTGTTTGACGTAATTTCCACTCCTATAATGTTAATATAAATATATTGCAACATGGAAACAGTCGCGGGACTAAGGTAATCATCGGTAGGACATTGACCTCTCCATCAGACCAGACTGTACCGTGTTCGAATTACGGCGTGGACCGAGAAGAACCCTAGCAGGTTGTCAAGCCCTGTTGTAATGGGGACTGACAAGTAAAAGTGCCTGATCGTTCCGATCGACGTGCACATAACAAAACTCGTGGCAGTTAGAATTCGTAGAAGACTAGTCGGGGAAGGCGCCGTCCTGGTAGAACTCCTCTGATGATGAAAGCCTCTAAGGGTCTAAAGGATGCAAAACAAAAATGACCATCTATCTATCTGAATTGCAAACTGTATCTAGTTTTGAAAATCAAATATTGTTTAAAACTATTTTAGCACAGATGATCTAAGTTACCTCATACAATGAGCAGCTGTTACAATATGCATGCTATCTACAATAGTTCCACCACACTGTGCTCCACCAGCATTTACCAGAACAGTCCAGGGAAATTCGCATTGCTTGGTGTTGACGCCTCCGACTACTCTCCCTCTTTGGTTGTTCAAATAAGTGGTGGCTGATCCAGTGACTGAGCTTATTCCACATTCTAGAAAATAAAATAAAAATAGTGTATTTCTGGATTAGCTTAAACATTCCTGATATCCCAGATTAATGACAACAACAGATGGAGAGAGAGAAATAGAGTTTAAAGTCCTCTTGACACAAACTAACATATATAATATGGTTCAATTAGGGGCTTTTAGTAGTCGAAGGAAACCGGAGGACTTAGAGAAAACCCAGTAGGGTGGACAGCCAACCCTACTCCGTGTCACGTACAATCAGGGAATCACTGACCTTGTGATCTAACGCATACACGTTAACCATTAGACTACCCAACCCCCTAATGACCACGAAGCTGCTCACACAATTAGCGGGGAGTAGTATAAACTTGGGGATTGAATGTCCATTCAACACTAACATTGCCGTTTCGCACGCCCCCCCACCCCAATGACCACTAAGCTGCTCATATTTTTAGCGGGTAGAAATATAAACATGGGGATTGAATGCCCACTCAACAATGACAATGCCGTTTCGCATCTCACGTATGACATATTTTCATTTCAATAAATCCATTGCAGCTAGGAGTCTTGAATGCAGGACGTTTCGGCCAGTGAACATTTCGGATTAAAACTTTTCGGCCACTGTATTTTTTAGAAAGAGGACGTTTCGGCCAGATTTATTTGTTTGTTTTCTTCTACAGATTTTTTCTTTGGTGTTTATTTGTTTGTTTTTACTGCGACATTGCATAGTTTTTATCGTCCATGCCCCAAACATCGGACGAGGTGTTCCCTTTAAAAATTCACTTTACTCAGTTTCTGCTCCATTTTCACAATATGTTAATCACGTCTCATATTGGAAACTAAATAAACAGATTTATAACGACAAAATACGTATATGATATTGGAACTGGAATTATTGGATTATAAACAGACACAGATTTAAAAATGAAATACATACGTGAGGTTGACACTGGGATTGTTGGTTTATAAATAGGTGCCTTGGTTGCTTGAGTTTGAGGATTGTTATACAGAAACACACCTAAATAATAGACAAATGTACATGTTATTCCTTGAATCAAACTAATATACAATCATATTTCAATACAAATGTAGTTGAAATGGGGTATCTGAAATGGGTCTTAACATATTTAAATTACCCTCAGTGCCGGATTATGTTGTATAGGCCCCTTGTTGTATATAAAGGGCCCATATTGAACGCAGCCGACACAAGCAATATAAATGGTATAGTAACAAAACAAACGTTGAATCATCGAATTGATGGCTCACATACATTTAGCTCTGGGATTTAAGACTTAATATTTCCTTTGAATATCACCACTGTATTGCCTTTAAGAAAGCAGTTCTAAGAAGTACATAGACTTGTCTCCAGGGTCAAGTTTAAGACTAATAGAGGCCCTACGCAATTAACAGATTTTGGCGCCCCCATATAGGCCTATATGTTATTCCAAATATTAACAATAATAAACCATTAAGTAAATCTGTATTATACACGTCACCATTAATTGAGATAAAGCAGGTAAAAGTATGAAGGAGAAAAACAATGAAAAGTTCATAAAAGTTCTAATTAATTTTTAAATTACATATTTTAAACTTTTCATCTAACAAGGCAGTTGGTACCCCCCCCCCCCACCCATGATGCCCTAAGCACGTGCTTATTTTGCTTAAGTGTTAATCCAGTCCTGCTTGTCTCAATAATGTGGATGTCAACAATTTGCCTCTAGCCAATAAGTCATCATAAAGTTTACACGGTCTGACATAAAGGTCAACTGTGAAATGTAAACACCACACAGAACATCAATGGATTATACACAATTGGACACTTAACACTGTCTAGAAGTAACAGGTCCAGTAGAATTGATATTTTGTCGCTATTGTTAAATAAGTTAATCTCCAACTGGTCTAGGTGTGAGAGAGAGAGAGAGAGAGAGAGAGAGAGAGAGAGAGAGAAATGGGGTTTAACGTCCACTCGACACAAACTAGGTCATTTCGGGACTAACATATGGTTTAACTTTATTTCAATAATTCGCTTGCGCATAGGGGTTTTTAGCTGTGGGAGGAAACCGGAGGACCCGGAGAAAACCCACGAGGTAACTGGTCCAGGTAATGGGATGTAACTAAACATAGCGTTATGTAATGACAGGGCGCTAATTCGGTGGAATTTATTCTAAAACACAATAATGTAGTAATTTGTATGACGAACAACATCAAATACGAAATGTTGTAATTTTGCCAGTTACCGTCTGAAATGTCTTACTGTAATATTATCATTAACTGCATTGAATTACGTACTGTAATATTATCAGTTACTATCTACAATGTCTAACTGAAATATTATCTGTAACTACATGGAATGACTTACTTTAATATTATCAGTTACTACATGCAATGCCTTACTGTAACTTTATCCGTAACAACATGGAATTACGTAATGTAATATTATCAGTTACTATCTACAATGTCTAACTGAAATATTATCTGTAACTACATGGAATGACTTACTTTAATATTATCAGTTACTATTTACAATAACTTACTTTAATATTATCAGGTACTATCTAGAATGACTTACTGTAATATTATCAGTTACTATCTGGAATAACTTACTGTCTGGAATGACTTACTGTAATAATATGGAGTGACTTACTGCTTTAGAATGATTTTCCGTAATACTATCAGTTACTTTTTATAGCAATTTTCTATAATATTATCAGTTATCATTAGTAACTATATGGAATGACTTACCATAAGATGAACAGTAACATTGTTGATATAAGCGATATCCAGCTTGTTGTAATAATGAACTAGGCTGTTGTGCCAGCTGTGCGTAATATTTACACCTGTTATAATCACACCCTGTAAAACAAAAGTAGAACAAAATCAGTTTTCTCGGCAATGGTAAAGATAAAATTAACGAAAAATGACTTTAAACAATCATTCTTTACTAATGGCCATAACCAAAATGCTTAGGACTCTCAAAACCCTGAAATTGTTCCAATGGAACTTAGTAACTAAACTGGAATAACACAAGTCACATCTGAAATTGGTAGCAATAAATGATGTTTTTCAACCAGGTAAATATTAGCTGCTGAGGGTAACATTTTCGTCCACAGTGTTTGTGAAGTATAACTGTTAAAATGCATTTCGAAAGGAGTAGTTTTAGCCATTTTCAGTGAATCAACTCAGGCTCCAAATAAAACAGGTGCCTAATAAATAAAGCAGTAGTAAAATCTATATGTAGTGTAGATGGTCATAAAATCAGAACGGATTAAATTTCCTCCTTTAAATTGAGGGGGGTTGGATGGCCGAATGGTTAGCACGTGCGCGCTGTATCATAAGACCTGTCATTGAGTCAACTGGCGTGGTTTCGAATCCCCGGTTGTACGTGACAAGGAGTAGGTCGCCTGTCCAACCTCGTGGGTTTTCTCCGGTTTCCTCCCACTGCTAAAGACCCCTACGCGCGAACGAATTATTGAAATAAAATATTAAACCATATGTTAGTCCCGAAATGACCTAGTTTGTGTCGAGTGGACGTTAAACACCATTTCTCTCTCCTTTAAATTGAAATAAAAATAACCCTTCATCTATGTTTTTGTTGCTGTACACTAATATATTCTAATGTATTTGTTAGTTGATAAATCAAAACGATATGTGGGAATTATCTGGCTGAGAATCGAACTGAATACAAAAGTAACCGATGTATGTGAAACCTTTATCATTGTGACAGGAAAGACTACTTGCAGATATTATTATGACGCATTACCACGATATCCAGCACCATCCCTGAGAATTTGGAAAATAATTGAAACATTAATAAAAGATTCAAGTCATCGAACTAACATAAATACTGTACTTAATACATGTGGGAACTTAGGGTTAATCGAGACAAATTCCTAAATAGGAATAAAGTAGTGTGAAGCTTTCCATTTCAAACTTACTTCCCTGTTCTCAGTACTTTATATAGCTACAAAATCATATAAGCAGTGATTTACCAAAACATATCGAACCAAAAGGACCATTCTATATACAATATTAGTACAACCATAAAGCATATATCTCCATCATGTACGTAAGAATAGATCTCGCTTTTCACAATTAGATGGTTGATATCTTAATTTATATTCAAGCAAACTAGTAAAGAAAATAAACAAATAATTTCACCCCGCAGAGCGATTAGTCTCAGAAAGGGCTTCATCATGTGACATTTATCCAGTTGTAAATCTTAATGCGGGAAATAACCTCTCCCCCACCAGATATACCGTCTTCATTAGCCCACTCGATACAGAACGAAAATAGGACGTTAAACCCTATAATTTCGGTTCATTTCCATTAGCCAGCATGCTGGCCGGTAATAAAACCAGATATGCCCGAGATTTAACTAGGATTGCCCACCGATAAAAAGTCCTGGGAAATATCACAAACTAATATATCAGAATAATCTGGAGGCGACGGCCATACTGTATTTGTGAATGCCGATTGCTGGTGAATAACCATGTCTCAGTAGTTAATAATTTAACAGTTAAAGTGCAAAAACTCTGCCCTGAAATATAAACACTTTTAGTTCACGATTGAGGTATATTACTACCTATGAACGTGTGATTAATATCTATAAAATAAATAAAATCATCTCAGATTGGAACACGTATTGTCTCGTGCGTAAGCAACGTATTCAGTTGTAACAATCGATGTTTACTTAAATTTGCCTGTCGTGTGGGCATTTATCAGTATCAGTACTCAAATACGAGTATATCATTACGCTTTAGTAAGCTAGTAAATGGTGTTCTGTTAGATATGTATAGAAAAAGTAGCTAACGGAAAATAAAAGTTAATTGTGTTTCCCACCATCTTCTAAACACTATTGCCTAATCGTCAATAAACATTTGATTTAGACCAACGGTTTAGTCCAAACCAACTGGATATATTAACGACATCTTTAATTTAAAATTATTAATATCGCTGCCTGTACAGAAATCAATAATTAAAACATTTTTGCAAAAGACCCAGGTTTAAAGGTCTATGCTAGGTACCCAGTATCTATTGGCTTTGAGCAATGAAAACAATTTGGGAATGTGAGAATCGAATCTCTTTTAAAACTAACCTCGATATAACGAACTATCTCCAGCACCATTGACAACTCCCAACAGGGTTACTAATAAAATTCCTATATCCATCAACATGTTGATAACTTTTAAGTTTTTGGTTCTAAGACAGGTAGTGACGGTTCCAAAACTATTTGACAACTACGATTGTATATGGATCTATCATAGTATTTGTAGGCTTGAATTTCTTGAAGTGCGGTTTTAAATTGACAAATTGAAAACATCCGTAAAAACAAAACTTGAATCCACTTGAAATGGATTAAAAATTGAATACAAATTTCATGACGATGAAAAGAGGTTTGTTAAAATTCAGAGAAGATTTAGATCGGGATTGTCATCAGACTAATTTACAGCCTCAAGTAAATAATGCAACAAAGGCGGTTTTGTCTGAACTGTGGTTGGGTAAATACAAGATACCCCCACTAGCCTTGATGATATCAGAGAATATTTAATTTATTCTAGCATAGACAAAAGTCTGATGACATCTTTCTGCTTTCATTTGGACACTAAAGTGCTTGACGTTTTCCTGGTATTTACCTACAAAATATATTCATCCATAAGAAATGATATAATCAGAAGGGGTTTTTGTAGACGGAAACGGACCTAAAGCAAGGCAGTGCAAGGGTGAATCACCCAAAGCAACCACTCCCATTTCGTAAGAAAAGCAAATTATCTCTTAAAACGATCCAAAGTGTTAAGATGAAAGGCGGTAATTTCGATCTAAGCCTTTCAAGTGGTGAAAACATCATGTAACCATTTTCGTTAATTGATGCAACTAAATTAAAACACCACTTTACACGTACAGATGTTTTAAATACAAACATTGTGTGTTATTGTAACAGAAATTGAAATAAGTTTTCAATACGAATTATTGGTATATAATACTGGCGAACAATAAGGTACACATCAGCTAAACATCGTATTACTAGTTAACACCCAGGTTTCATAGGCGGTGGAGATTTCTCAGGGGTAAAGAAATTGCAGCTTTGTTTGCATTTCAAACCGTCTGTGCATGTATATTTATATATTTCTAAGCGGTTGGACTTGGGGGTCAGTGTGTGAGGTGCACATATATGCAGTTGCTATTGTTTGACACGAAGACAGTCCTAAAAAAAATCTGGTTAGATGTATTCGGTTTATCAAAGGATCTTTTTTCACATTTATATTTTCTAATATATATGTTTTGTATATGTTTATAATTCGGGTGTAAATGGTTCGCTTAAACCTACAAACTAATGAAACTATTTCTGCAAAATGTTACCAAGGCGATATGCTCCATGTACTATATGCACACTGAAATTGGCATTCGTCATTCCGCTGTATGGCGCCTCTGATCTCACAATGTGAAAATCTCAATGTCACGTCTTCCATAAAATATTGTACGCCGAATCTGTCAACTGAAATATACTATGAAGTTAATCTGTATATACATTAATTTCAAATTTTGGGTAGTCCAGTTGTCTAACGCCGCACCTTAGTCCATCATGTCTGTTATCGTTTCAAATGTTGTGGTATTGATCCCACGGAAATGATGAAAATGAGTAGTAGGATCGTCTGTTCCAATGACATTTCTGTAGGTTCTTGATTTCATCCCTCTGATGAAAAACTCTGCACCCAAGCAAATTATTGAAAAAAAAAGATACACTCAAAAGTTTCAAATTTTATTTTTTAACAATTTCGCACCTGGGTGTGATGTAGGTAAAATAGTGCTTATATCATTGTACTACCTGCTTCAGATCCTGGTTGCAATATAAGTCATATAATGTAAACAAACAATTAATTGTTTGAAGGAGCCTGTGTAGGTTATTTTGTCCTTGAACTAGTCGAGTCACGTTTGGTAGCTACTGGTCATAGTATGAGTAATCGGCTTACGCGGAAATGTCCAATTTATATACATTAACATTGTCAACACGACAATTTGAAGTCTGGAATGTGTCTAACTTTTCTTGAGATTAAATTAACATATTCGACACAAACTATATAAAATGCCCATTTACTTTTCAAATAATACAAACCTAAAGAAATCTGTGCTTTCGTATTTTAAAATAAACAGTTGATTCTATAATACATGGATAACTTCGTCATCTAAGGAGCCACCGTGGTGCAGTGAATTAGACGTTAGCTTGATAACCTGGAGATCACGTGATCGAGTTTCCGGCGTGGTCCCCACGTGTCAGTGGTGGAGGACCTGGTAAAGGACAACGTCTAGTCGTTCGATAGTTCGAAAAATCGAAGTCTCGTGTAAATATTGGCGTGCTCGTAAAAAAAACCCTTACAGTTGGAATTCGATATAAGAGTAGGTCGTAGTGCCGCTGTTTGGACAAAATTTCGCTCATACATAGCACACTGTATGCCCATTTTCATTAGCCCAATCGGCGTAGAACATTTCAAGAAAAGCTTGGTGGACTCCGAAGAATTGCCTTCAATGAGGCAGAGTGAGGCATGTTACATAACTCACACATGTAGTCTGTGTAATACTATTCACACGTGTTATTGTTGATAGCAGAATAATAGATATTCCTAACTAAGAACACCGAATAAATAGCTGTTTGGTCTCCTATACCTAATAAGCTCGACACTTTACCCAACTCCTACAAGGAGTTGACTACACGGCAGCGAGCCTAATATATTGAAAGTGCTGATTTTATCAGAGAGGCTGAAATCTAGGCACTAGGTAGATTGAACCTCACAATTTGAAGTGAGCGTCCTAACTTATATAAAATTAACGAAAATTCTCATGGGAACTCTCGTTCCCAGTGTATGTTTCCTGGTACTACCCCAACCTTGGCCCAAATCCCACCACACTGCAGCCTTAATTCCCTCTGCTGCGTGATCTCGCTTTTCACGCGTTCTTAAGTCTACATCAGATTTTTCTGAACACTTTATGTTTCGTACACCCCATATAAGAACAATCCTACTGTTAATTAGCTTTCATATAATACTCCATACTTGAAATCGTCCAGACACGTCTTTATCATGTTGCGGTGACTACTGCCAGTTTCGTGTGAATCTAAAACAATAATCTATAACATAAATGTAACGATTTTATAAAAACAAGACACGCATCAAATGCTTTTATAAATCTACACTGCAGTAACATCGACTATAATAAGTCATCGTGGCATATGTGGTGCACGACTCAGTGTATTCTTACTCTGTCTTGAACACCTGCTTCAATTTCTAATTCGGGACATTTTACATAGCTGGTAAATTTCTGTTCTACTTGACAAGGTTACCAACGTTTGTGAAATGTTAAAGTGTGGCAAGAAATTTTGGTACAAATACATTTTAATATTGTAGAAACGTTTATTTTTAATAAAATGTTTAATTATTGTAAGAAAAATATGATCTAGTCTCAAATGTGTAAGCCCCAGTAAGAAAAGTGTAATCTAATCTTTAATTTATAAGACTCGGTAAAAGAAAATATAATCTAAACCCTGATTATTTATAAGATTTAGTAAGAAGAGTATAAACTAATCTCTAATTTATAAGACTCGGAAAAACAAAATAATCTAAACCCTAATCATCTACAAGACTCAATTAGAAAATATAATTTAATCTCTAATTCATAAAACTCGGTAAAGGAATAAACAAAACCCCCTAAATCCTACTTATTTACAAGACTCGGTAAGAAAATATAATTTAATCTCTAATTCATAAGACTCGGTAAAGGAATAAAATAATCTAAACCCTAATTATCTTCAAGACTCAGTAAGAAAATATAATTTAATCTCTAATTCATAAGACTCGGCAAAGGAATAAAATAATCTAAACCCTAATTATCTACAAGACTCAATAAGAAAATATAATTTAATCTCTAATTCATAACATAATAACATAATCTAAATCCAACTTATTTACAAGACTCAGTAAGAAAATATAATCTAATCTCTAATTTATAAAACTCGGTAAAGGAAAAAATGATGTAAACCCTAATTATTTATAAGATTCAGTAAGAAAAATATAATCTAATTCTAATTAATCACTCTTTATTTATAAGACTCGGTAAGAAAATTTAATCTCAACTCTGATTTGTAAGACTCGGTAAGAAAATATAATATAAACACTAATGGTTAAAAATATAATCTAATCTCTAATTTAGAGCCCAAGACTCGCTAAACTCTGATTTGTAAGACTAATATTAAATAAAATCACAGTAAATATAATCGAACCTCTAATTTGATTTTAAATCAAATCGTAGTAAGAAAAGCTAATCTACACTACTGGATCAACATCTAGCATGATCGATCTTGCCTGAAGCAATTCATTTCAACGGAATATTCAAAGGTAGTACCTATTAAAATGGGTATTATTTTGGGGGATTAAGGAAGAACTATTGGCTATTGTCTGAAATTTTAATCACAGAGTGTTACCTTTTTGTCATATTTATTTCAAAATAATGGATCACTAAAAGCCATACAATATTAGAATTGCTTTTTTTCAAATTTTAGACGGCACGACTTCGTTAGCACAATCGGCACAGAAATGTTAGACGTTAACCTCATTTCATTTCATTTATTTTAGACCGATGTAGAACGCATTCAATGTTTATTTGGTTTGCAAGCATCCACAATATTAAGTAAATAAAGAAAACAACCAAAGCAAGAAAGAAAATTATAAAAAGTATATATTTTATATTCCTAATTCCATTTAAAAGACAAGAGGTTTTATATTAAAAGGAGTGTGAAATTTTAAATGTCCCTTTTATTATGTTGGAGATCTGAAACGTAACAGAAAAGAAGCCACGGTCTTGCGATAAAATAAACAATAAAATTCAGTGAAGATCTGTTAATTCCACTGTTCGCCCTTGGAAAATGTGCGAAAATGACTTAAACCATGTTGTTATTGTTAAATAAATCAACTAATTTATATTCAGAGGTGTTAATAAGTTAAGATTAGGTGATGCTTTTCATTGTTTGCACCAGGGAGTACAACGATTCGCCAAATCTATTTAAATAAAGTAACTAATTCAAATTCAAATAGGCTAAAAAGTTAACGAAAGTTTGTTTTACTTACTCAAATTGTATCCAAAGGCGAATCGATGGAAGGAACAAAGGAGTATAACACAGAGGATTTTCCCAATGACTGGGTCAGAAGCAAAAACGCGAACTTTCTGCATTTTT